TGATGTTCATTACCATCAGCAGATCCCCTGAATAGAATTTACCCACCCCAGAATGATAGAGGAGCCAACCAGCGAAGGTTGTTGGGCCTGCCTGTTGGCTCCTTTCTCTACTTTGCCCCACCCCAACTTCTCAGAATTGAATTTTGTTAGATATGAGAAGGAAGAGGTGAACTGACCTTGTGGCCTTGTGAGCATTCTTCAGACAGTCCTTTTCATTAGGACTCTTGAATAGTTAGACCTTGCCAGTGACCTTTGGAGGTCAGCAGTGTCAACACTGTTGGTCACAGGAATGTTTTGGGTATGCCAGCTCAAGAGAATTGGTGTGTGGATCTCTGAGACATGAGTTTGCTGATGCTTGGGGCTGAGCAGCCTGCATCTTATTTCACGGTTCTTGGTACAGGTGGGTTGCACTGATTGGACAGGCGTGGATGGGAACCTCAGTGGTGAAGGGACCAGTCACAGCTGATGAGTCCACAGCTCCATGGGAGTGTTTGAAGACTGATGGAAATGTGATCTTAGAATTGGTGTTGAGGTGTCCCACAAACCGCCAACGTCCTCCCGTCAGTGAGAGCTGTGCTGAGCCTCCTAGAGATGCTTGGCTTCTGTGGGAAGATGAGGTTGCCCAGCTTTATGTCAAGGGTGGGCCCTAACCTTTTCTCAAGACAGTACCGCGTCACCATGTCCCCCCAACGTTCAGTGACCCCGTGCTCCTACAGAGCTAAGACTTGAATGTGAAAAAGAAGGTGGACCCAGTTACTCATTGGCCTGATCTTTTGTCAGGGCATCAGCTGTTAGGTTCTGGCTCCAGGCTGGCCTCCCCTGCTGCCGCCCCCTCCCCGAGCAGGTGTTTGGTCTTCAGGTGTGCTGTTTGGAGTGGGGGTGTGTCCGTAAACTTGTTTACTGCTCCTGCTTTCTCCCCTGCATTTGAGTCTTTAATTTGTCTGACACTTTTTACCCCCTAAGAAGTCTATCTTTGAGGTTTCTCAAAATCAATATCAGACAGGCGCCTGGGCTTGTGGTTTTTCTCTTGGTGAGAACTTGGCTTAATTTTCACGCCCCATTTCAGTATCTGTACAGACAGGAAGCTCCACCCTTTTCATGGTGTAACCGACCCTAAACTCTTTGTATTTACCAGCTATAAAGGAAACTGTTTAAATAATAAATTGTGAGTTTAAAAGTCCATGTGGGAGAGATGGAAAGGCTTCTCATCTCCCTTGCAGAGGTCAGAGGAAGGGTGTGCAAGATTGATTTCTATGGGGATTCCCTCTTACTCAACTCGCCTCTGAATTGGATGTGTCTATTCTCTTTAAAATGTATGTAATGAACTTTTATACAAGCCCCTTTTATTTATTGAATAGTTGATGTCTCATTTAAAAACTTACCTTGGGTGAGTCACATTCTTCTCTGGGCCTCAGTTTCCTCTGTGAAGTTAGGGGTTTGACCAAAATGATTTCCAAGGTCCATTGCAGTTCTGAACCCTATGAGCCTGTGAACCTGTAAGCTTACCTACTTCTCCCCAAAAAAGCCTTCAAGGAAATGAGACAGATGTAGAGCTAGAAAGGCCCTCCGAGGTCGAGCCTCTGGTCCTTCTGAGGCCCCGGAAGGGGAAGGAGCTTGCTTAGTGCCCCATAGTAGCTGAGCCAGAACCTGAACCAGCCAAGGCTTCTGGGTCTGAATCACAATCGCTGGCATTTGTTTCTGCCTCTTTGAGGCTTTGCAAAGGGCTTCACAGCCATTAGAATGTTTCTAGTCTCCCTCCTGTCCACCTGCTGCTCCCATTAGCATCTGCCTTTGCCAAATGTTCTTACGTTTTCTGCTGTGCTTCCCCCCACCCCCACCCTGGTCTGGCTTTTGGGGACCTAGAAGCGATTGTCTCTTGAGCACGTCTGGTTTCTCTGCAAAGATAAAATCTCCAGATCACAGCACTTGCCCCAAGCCTGCCTGACCCCACATCACCTGGGCCAGGTGGCCGCTTCCTCTGACTCCTAGACCAGCCTGGATGTTCCCTCCAACCAGCCGACAGCCATAACCACTTTCCTTCTTGGGAGCTTCGTTGGAAACAATGTGAACAGCGTTTCCGTCTTTTAACAGTATCGTCCTATAAGTTCACTAAGTAAACAGCCACCAGGACAGGCATCTGTTCAGTGCTTGGCTTAGAGTCTAGACATAGTTTCTTGACTGTTGGGTTTGTTAGGAAGTTGAAACATCTCTACTTCCTGGCTTCAGACTATATTGAGGCCCACATTAAACTCTTTCTATGGTGTCAGCTCACTCCTCCCCCCCCAAGAGTTGTCTTAGTTTGCGTACCACTCCAGAGGGCACAGGGGACCCTCCCTCCCCCCACTTGGACTTGGCTGTCAGAGCAAGGAGGAGCAGGGCCTCTAGGGATTTAAATGAGAAGAGGAGCAGATGGATCCCTGGGGTCAAGCACTAAAATCCGAGGAAGTTGCCCAGCATGATAAATCAAGGTGCTAAAGGTGAAACATGTAAATTCAACTCCATCCTGGCCTTCAGAGCCCAGATAAACTTCCCTGGGAAGATATAATCTTGAATAGCTTGGAATAGCCCTCTCTGCTTGTCTCTACTTGCTTTATGGATGGCACAAGTTTCTAGGCATGTTTGGAGAAGCCAAGCTCACGGATAGGCTGCTATCTGCGTCCAAACCTGGCTTAGTGTCCTTAATTTTGCATTAGTCTTTTTTGGATTTGCCAGTCCTAGAATTAGATGTGACCCACTGCCTTCCTGACAGCCCAGCCCTTGTGCTGAAATGGGAATTAGCTAACATGGGACAACTAGTGTCCATGAAGAGTGGCTATGGAGACTGGGGGACCCCTGTCCTTCAGGGGTTCACGTCATTAACTAGAAGGCTCACAGCAGGGCAGGGGATTGGGAAATGGCTTTGGTCTGAGTGTTTCATGTCCCTCTAGACTTCCCCTGCAGAGGCAGGCTTCTTGGAGAAAATACAGTTGGGCTTGAGGGAAAGGCTTCTGACACCCCCCTCCCATTTCATGTTACCCTCATCCAGTCCACCTGCATTTTTCTTCTGCAGTGTGTCTGTGAGATGGAGAAGAGGCTCCCTCTCCCTTGGCCTCTTCAGTGGAGGGTCTTGGAGGGGTATGGGAAGCAGGAGAGATGTGGTAGGTCGGCCTGCCCACTCTGTGGCTCCCAATATAGATGTCCTGCCGTCATTTAAATGCACCCTCCTCTTCCCCTCATCCTGTGTGAGCTCCTGGGATGTCAACCTAATGCTTCTTTTAAAAAAAAAGGGGGGGGGAGGAAATGAACAAGGACCTTGCCCACTTTAAAAATGCAAATAACATCCCCCTCTCCTGGACTGTTTCCTCCTCTTTTCCCTCAGGAGTTTGTTTTTATATTGGCCCTGTAGTGTGGACCCTGTCTAGGCTGTGTGTGTCATCCCAGCCCCGCAGCCTCACTGCCTTGGTCTGAACAGAATGTCCCTCCTGCAGCTGAGTGAGGGGCGGCTCCAGTTCTCAGGCCTGAGGCTCACCACCTGTTGTTGCCTTGTTCATTCCAGCCTCTCCTCCTCCCTTCCCGGCCCTTCCCTCCTTTCCCTCCCTAATGGTCAGCCTGGGATCATTATAGACTTTCCAAATACCTTCTGGATGGTGTCATTGCTTCTGCGCAGGCTGTATCTCTACAAAAGAAACCATTGTTTGGCCATGGGGGAGAATCGGAGTTTTCATTATTTCGGTGTTGGAATTGAGAGGCACTCCCCTTCGTTTATATGGAATGGATGTCGTACCCACATTGGGAATTGGGCAGCCCGGGCTGCATGGGCCATCCGTTATACACTGGCGTTTGGCTCTGTGGCAGCATTGGTTGATGCTTCGCCACACATAATCAAGGTGGTGGTCTTCGTGCCCTATTTTCACAGAACCTACAGTTACCTTTAGAACTCACTTATAAATAAGGAGAAGACACCCAGTTTGATGACTCCACGGGCTAGCTGGTGCTGTCTACCAGATTCCTGTCATCTAGAGACCAGTTTGGTGAAACCAGACCTCTCTGGGTCACTTCTCTACCTGGACATGTTGCAAGCCTGGTAGTGACTGAGATGTCTCTTCACACCCTCAGGTAGCTCAGCACTCAGAGCAAAATGACCTGTGCCATCACATGGGGATCCAGGCTGTGCTTTCTCCGTCTGCCTCTATGGGAGGAGGTAGAAGTACTAAAGGAGGTGGAAGGATTAGAAAGAGAATCCTTTTTTTCCACCTGGCCCCTCCTCTCATCTGGATGGAGGAAGAAGTAGGTTCCCCTGGCTTGTTCCAATAGTATTATCCCTCCGAGTCAGGAGGAGAGCTTTAGCTCTGAATTCCCCAGAATAATGAAGATATCAGCAGGGCCCAGTTTTCCTTCAAATGTCCACTGCAGGCTTGCTCAGGCTATGAAGATCTTCCTTGTAAGTGACCTTAAAGAAAAACCATTTCATCCGCCAAAGAACTTTCTTATGCTGAAGGGTGGGTGATGTACAGGTCTGAGCCTAGGCCCTTGTGGAAAAGGCGAAACAGGATTCTGGCACTTTCCCCCCAGTCCAATGCAGCTGGGAAGCAATGAAGTCATCCCATAACAACCATCACAAAGAAAATAACAAAGTCGGCTGTGTTCTCATTGAAACAATTTTTCCAGCTTAGAAATGGCGTTACATTCACCTTTTTACACACCATACTGGCAGACTAATTTTTGCAACTCAGCACAAAATGAAGCCATAACATTGGCTTCCTTTTTAGACATTTTTCTGAATCCTTCTTCTCAGCAGCTCTGTCTGTAATAGAGGGACGCAACCAGTGTTGCCATATAGCTGGTTATGTTCTCCATATTCCACTCGTGTGAGCGTCTTTGTAAGTGTCACTGAGAAATGACTATCTCCCCACAGACAGCAGCTACTTCAGGTCGGGAGGTGAAGTTTGGATTTCTTTTTGCATGGCATGCTTGACTCACTGGACTCTTCTCTAACTGTACCTCTTTCCTCTTGTCTTCAGGTCCCTTCTGAACCCCCAACAGCCATCAAGCCCAAAACAGATGATTCCTCTACACAATCCCCTCCTTCTGAGAAGGACAAGCAGTCTAGCTGGTTACGACTGGCAAGCTCGTCCAATAAGGTGATTTTAAAAAATCATCCCATTTATGCTTTCTGAGTTAAACTGGGTCCATAGTCCCACTAGAGGAGAGAATTTGGTTTTGTTTTTAAAATTAAAAAAAAAAGGTATGCTTCAGTCTGTATTCAGACACCATCAGTTCTTTCTCTGGGGATGGATAGCATTTTTCATCATAAGTCCTTCTGCGTTGTCTTGGATCGTTGTATTTCTGAGAATGGCTAAGTCATTCATAGCTGATCATCTTACAATATTGCTGTTACTTTGTACACAGTATGTTTTACTTTGCATCAGCTCATGTAAGTCTTTCCAGATTTTTCCAAGAGCCTCCTGCTCGTCATTTCTTATAGCACAGTAGTATTCCATCATAATCACATACCACAGTTCCCCAATTGATGGGCATCCCTTCAGTTTCCAATTCTGTGCCACCAGAAAAGAGCTGCTACAAATATTTTTGTACCTATAGGTCTTTTTCCTCTTTTTTTTTTTTAAATCTCTTTTGGGGTCCAAAGGCAATGGTATTGCTAGGTCAAAAAGGTATGCATGGTTTTATAGCCCTTTGGGCATAGCTCCAAATTGTTCTACAGAATGGTTGAATCCGTTCACAGCTCCGCCAACAATGCATTAATGTCTCATTTTTCCCACATCCCCTCCAACATTTGTCATTTTCCTTTTCTGTCCAATTAGCTGATCTAATAGGCATGAGGTAGTACCTCAGAATTGTTTTAATTTGCATTTCTCCAATCAGTAGTGCATTTGGGACATTTTTTTGTATGGCTATAGATAGCTTTGATTACTTCATCTGAAAACTGTTCATATCTTTTGATTGTTTATCAATTGGGGAATGGCTCTTTTTTTTTTTATAAATTTGACTCAGTTCTCTATATGTTTATGAGATCTTTATCAGAGAAACTTGCTTCAAAATTTTTTTCACAGTTACCGTTGCTGTATTTCCCTCTATCCAACCCCACCCCCCACCCCCCTCCATTTATTCTATTCTCTCTCTTGGAGGAAGAGTTTGACTGTGCCATTGTCTTGAAAGAATTCTGCTCAGGGTACAAGAGAAGTGGTTCTTTATACTTTTATATATGAAATTTTAAAGGGCCGCTGATGCCTGCCCATGTGTTTGCTCCGAAATCCACATTCTTTAAAGAAAAGGCTACTTGGGACTTGGATCTAACCCTATTTCAAGGCTCCCAATGAAATTTAGTATGGAATCAAAACCCACAATTGTAGACGGTCTCATTTGGGGCTTGCAGCCCAGATAATAAGATGCGAGGCCACAGCCCCCTAGAGGCTTCTTGAAATGGACACTAGGAAAATATATTTGTTAAAGACAACTCACTCAATTGCATCCTCTCATCAGTGACTTGCATTTTTAAACAGAGCATTGGCTGCATGCATCCCCGGCAGCGCTTGTCAGCTTTCCGACCTTGGTCCCCTGCTGTTTCTTCCAGTGAGAAAGATCTCTCCACACACCTTCCTGCACTGATTCGAGACAGGTGAGGTTCCGCTCTGTTCCTCCCGTAAGCTCAAAGTGGGGGCCTAGGAACCAGAGAGTCATAAGAGGATGTTAGAGGGAGGTGCAAGGGTGGGACCTCAGGTGTTAGTGGAAATGACCCATGGCCTTGTGCCTCTGCAGGGTGGGGAATCAGAGGACTCTTTCCGGTCCCTTGCTCTAATGGAGCATGTCTTTGGATTGTGGTTTGGTTTTTTTTGTTCGTTTTGGGGTTTTTTTTTGCCTTTCTTAATGACATTCTGAACTTGATAATTTTTTTCCTTACTGAAGGCAGAAAAACTGGTCTTTTCAAATTTGGCGGCTTGAATCAAATTTGTTTTTCTAAATGAATAAGGTCATCAGAAAGTTTGGGCAGCTGTCTAAAAGCAGCTGATAATATAGTGGTGTTAAGAAATTGGGTACAGTTCTTGATTGACATCAGCCCCACCCAGGGCAATGACTCTTAAGAGCCTGTGCACAGATACCCGCAAATCATAGGGTTTTGTGGTATTTGTCGGGCGGACCTTTTGGAGAGAGTTGACTCTCCAGTTTGCTTCAAACTCCTTTGAATATGGGCTCTAAACCTGTGATCTCATCAGTATGAAAATTTCCTTCACAGATGCAGACACCACAATCCCTCTATAACATAATGTCTTAAAGGGGAAGGGTCGCCTGGGGTACTGAGAGGTCACAGAGCTAGTCTGTTCTGTGTTAGAGGCCATATTTGAACCCAGGTCTTTATGACTCCCAGGCCAGACCGGCCTGCCTATTTGTTTGAGATGTTAGTGTTACTTAATTGTTTTGTTTTCCCAAGACTACTTGTTTTAATCAAATGTTCTGTTTGCTGTGCTGGGCGGTTCTCTGCAGTAGCCCCCGGCTCATGCTCTCTCCACCTTTCTGCAGTTTTTACTCCTATAAGAGTTTCGAGAATGCTGTGGCTCCCAACGTGGCGTTGGCTCCTCCCACACAGCAGAAGATTGTGAGCAGCCCTCCCTGTACCACCACTGTGTCCCGGGCCCCCGAGCCCATCACCACTTCCATACAGCCCCGGAAAAGAAAGCTGCCTATGGAGAATCCTGGTGTGCCAGAGACCTTGGTCCCTGTCACTGCCCCAGAGGATGAGAAGGATTCCGAGGCAGACGTGGAAGTGGAAAGCAGAGAGGAATGTAAGTGTGAGTTGACTTTTCTCTTCTCCTCCTAAAAAAAGTGGTGTACTATTCAAGAAGAAGCTCCCATTTCTGAAAGGAGTGTGAATGTGTGTGTGTGTGTGTGTGTGTGAATGTGTCTGTGAGTGCCTGTATGTGCAAGCGTATGAGCAAGTGTGAATGACTATAAGTGTGTGCTAATGTGTGTGAATGCAGCTGAGTGTGGATATTGTATGAGTGCTTGTGTGCAAAAGTGTGTAAATGTGTGTGAGTGTGAATGTAACTGCAAATGTGCAAGCATGAATGTATGCACAAGTGTGTCACTGTGTGTGAATGTGTCTGTGAGTGCCTGTATGCATATGTGCAAGTGTGAGGATGAGCAAGTGTAGATGTGACTGTAAAGGTGCACGTGTCAATGCCACATGCGTGCCACGTGCACAAGTGTGTGTGACCGAGTCTGTGAGGGTGAATGTATGTGAATACATCTTTGTGTATGTGTGAGCACCCTCTGCAGAGGGTGACTGTGTGGAGCCATGCTGGCCGTGAGGACCACGTGACAGTGTGATATGGGGCAGGAGCCCTTGCTTCGAAGGCGCTCTGCACGGTTGAAGTCAGTTTGCTGTGAGATTTGAGGCCGGCTTTTTAACATTGGTTTTTCGGTTTGTCTTTGTTTGTAGTCACTTCGTCCTTGTCCTCGCTCTCTTCTCCATCCTTTACCTCGTCCAGCTCGGCCAAGGACATGAGCTCTCCGGGAATGCAGGCCCCTGGAGGCAGCGGTGGCAGCGGTGGCGGCAGCGGCACAGTCAGCGCTTCTTTCGAGGCCATGGCCCATGCCGAGTCCCACAGCAATGGGCTGGAGGCTGAACTGGAGCATCTGAGGCAGGCGCTGGAAAGCGGTCTGGACACTAAGGAAGCCAAAGAAAAATTCCTTCATGAAGTTGTGAAAATGAGAGTGAAACAGGAAGAAAAGCTCAACGCGGCCTTACAGGCCAAACGCAGCCTGCACCAGGTGAGAGGGGAGTGGGTGTGGGCGACTCTTGGACGGGCTCTTGTGCGAGGTAGCTTCTGGGCTGGCACAGAGCATCTGCTGACCCTCCCCCTAGGAGACTCAGGACGGGAACCCACGCCCTGCTGGAGGGCCTGGGGCCCCATTGCCTGGGTGGGCCTGGAGCCCCGCACCCCCATCACCTCTGGGGGGTACAGAGAGATTGTCTTCAAGATACCTCTACGTGCCCATCGTGATCCCCAGCGAGCAAGGCACCCCCTCGGCTGGCTGCCTCGGACTGGCTTCTCTCTCTAATGAAGCTGGAATGTTTTTCTGTTATAATGAGGCCTGGGCTATTTTTAGTGCAGGGAGTGAGGAGCAGCTGCACCAGAGACAATTTCACACTTTAACTGTGTGCATTTGCCAAAAGTGGGTACACTCGTATGCCCACCGACAAGGAAGGCCTAGCTCCCAGGGCCTGTTGCATGCACATCAAATGACGTGTTTTTCTAAAGCTTTGAAAAAAGAAAAGGTGGTAATGCCCAGTCCCTTGGTTCTGACCATTCCCTGTAGAAGAAGAAGAAATGTTCATGAAAAAATAACCACAGAATGACTGGGGGCATCCGTGCTGCCACAGACCAAGTAGGGTCCCCTCTTTGAAAATGTGCTTTCTTCTGCCCACAAATATTTTCATTTTGTCAGCCACCCTACTCTCTGCCCCCACCCACCAAACCAACAGTGGCGGTCGCCATGATCCTCCTTATGAGTCCATTTGCCCCCGTGCCTAGCTCTCTTCTTTCCAGACACGCTTACTGAGCTGCTTTCTCCCGGTTACCCTCTCTCCGTTCTGAATTTGCACCCCACTCCCCAAACTTGCCCCTCCCCATAAACAAAGCTAACATCTTGCTAGTGGTTTGGAAGCCAGAGTTTCAGGGTTTCTTATCTGTAATTTTGTGGGGATATTTGCACTTGATGGTACACAGCCATCATTTTGAATTCATTTGGGTTTTTGCTTTTTGCTGTTTTTGTTTGTGTTCTGGTTTTTCCCCCCGGACACAAACCAGATATGGTCTGGAGGGGAGGACACCCTCGAAACACTCCAGAGTACTGCTAGGCTGCAAGATTGCATGACAAGATGAGCAGCCTTGGTGATATTGAGAGCTGGAGTGCGATTTGGGTGTGGGTGTACCCCCCAAAAATTGTAAATAAAGTCTGAGAACATTTAACACTTAGGGGTTTGTTTTTTTTTTCTTTTTTAATTTCCTAGGGTGTTTAGAACTCTGTGGCCCACCCAAAGGCTGTGAAATTAACACCTCTGTCTAGCGCAGCATGGCAATGAGAGATTGTCTGACAACTCGGTGGAAAGTTTAACAAATAGAATGTTTTTTAGCCCAATACAATGCTGTCAGCATTTCACATTCCAGAATTTTAAAAATTAACATCAATATGTAGTTTAGTTTACTTGCAGTGTACCCTGGCAGATCTTTTTATTTTAATCTGGTTTAAGGTGTGACTTCAAAAGGGAACGTTAACTAAATGTTTTTTTGCAGGATGGATGGCAAGGAGTTTTAATTACCTAAGCTTTGTGAAACCTTTTTGGTGAAAATTTGAGTTTAGGAAGCCTCACTTGACAAGATGTCAGGATTCATAGACGTTCCCCTCCCACCACCTCCCACACACCACCAGCCAGTGAATTCTGGTAATCACATGAGAAGCCCTTTGGTGCCAAGGACCACCATCACCTCTCTTCTGCCCTGATCTTGGACAGAGGTTGTTGCCTTTTTATATGTAGCAGAAACACAAAGAAAGGGGCATCTTTCTGCAGAATAGCCTGTTGGGTTTTTTTTTTTTGACCTTTTCTGGCTTGGCTCAGCCATGGAGGGAGGACATTTTCTGGACCCCCCAATTTCACCTTCCTCTAGTGGACATGAACGTGTTATGTCTTCCCCCTCAATTTTTCCCAATCTCTCCTTTCTACCTCCCCCCAAACCGATGTGTGCAGAGGCAAGAGCTGGTGGGCCTGGCTGGGAAGTGAGGCTGGTCAAAAACTTCTTCTGGCCCTTTGTGAGTGTCACTAATTCACCTCAATTGTGTCTTAGCAAAGCTGTCATTTTTTTTGAAACAGAAAACGTGCTTCTTAAAGGGAATTGGGACCAAAATTTACCTTTGAAAAAGTATCGTCCCTGCAAATGCATGGAATGTCAGCACAGATAGACTTTGTGTTCCACCCTGTGAAATGGATTTGAGGTGTTTAATTTTATAAAGCAGTATTTTGTTTCCACCTTGTCTACCACCAGCTCCTTTCAGGGCGAGTTGCTTAGAGATGAGTGTGAGGCGGCCTGTGTTGAGCAGCTGGGGCAGTAGGGTGGCCTGGAGTACTCGGGGCCTCTGCCACAAGGAGGAAGCCTGAGGACGGGGCACCTGGGGCTTGCAAAGCAAACTCACCTTGCTCTCCTTTGTGCCCTGGAGGAGCTGGAGTTCCTACGAGTGGCCAAGAAGGAGAAGCTTCGGGAGGCCACGGAGGCCAAGCGCAACCTGCGGAAGGAGATCGAGCGCCTGCGAGCAGAGAATGAGAAGAAGATGAAAGAGGCCAACGAGTCCCGGCAGCGGCTCAAGAGGGAGCTGGAGCAGGCCCGGCAGGTCCGCGTGTGCGACAAGGGCTGCGAGGCGGGTCGGCTGCGGGCCAAGTACTCGGCGCAGGTGAGCCGGGCCGCGCTGGTGTGCCGGGGGCATTCCACGGATGGGGAGACTGAGGCGCAGCCCGGGGCCCGTGGGCCTTGTGCAGCATTCCTTGGTAGCCATCTTCCCAAGTAGCCAGGGGGCTCAGCGGGGTTGGGGAGGAGCCCCTGAATGGGACCAGGAACCCTCTGCTTGAGGGCCTGGGCTCTTTAAAGGAGACGGTGTGAATTTCCGGATCAGGAAGGGAAGGGGGGCGGTGAATTGTGTTGCTGCCCCACAGGAAGGCACGTGCTCTTGGCCCCCAGAGTCTCCTCTCCCTGATAAGGGGGGTCCAGACTAAACAGAGGGAGGGAGCACGCCTGAGAGCAGAGGGTGGCCGGCCAGCCCCTGCTGCCTCCTCAGTTCGGGCCTCCTCTTTGCCTAACAAGGCCCTAACATGCCCAAGTCTGGTGGAGGTTCAGCACACAGACCTGGGAAGGGTCTTTTAGGCTTAGTGAGCCATGGGGCTGAGTGTAGTATGTGTGAGCCTGCAGAAGGCGCAGCTGCCCAGTGCTCCCAACCCGAGTCTGCAGAACTGGTCCCGGCTGTAACAGGGTTGGTACATCTAAATTCTCCCTCTTCTTCCATGGCCTGGCGAGGCCCTCTTGCCACCTCCTCGGATGCTTCTTTCCACCAAGGAGCCTCAGAGAGCTGTGACTAAGCTCCCACAGCCGGTCCTTGGGCGTGGGGTGAAGCGTGAGGCTCCACCGCCCAAAGTGCAGGGGGGCCCGTCCCCCGGGCTGGTGGACCAGAATCCTGCCATCCGCCTACAGTATGGGGCCACTCACCAAAATTCCCTTCCCCAGCTATGCAGCCTCCGCCTCCTCCACCCCCCCCCCCGTAGCGGCAGCCCTCCAGTGGTTGGCATAGGGCCTTGTTTGGTCATCAGAAGAGTGACAAGTCCCTGATGGGGGTTCACCCTCCTGCCTTGGAAGGCACAGGGTCCTTGGTGCGTGCCCCTCCGTGGGCTTGTGAGCCTCTGTGGGGATGCACGGGTGTCCCGGGGGGCGCACACCTCTCTCTCAGGCCTGGTTGACACCCATCTCCTTTGGCTTTCAGATCGAGGACCTGCAGGTGAAGCTTCAGCACGCTGAGGCTGACAGGGAGCAGCTCCGGGCCGATCTCCTGCGGGAGCGGGAGGCCCGGGAACATTTGGAGAAAGTTGTGAAGGAGCTTCAGGAGCAGCTGTGGCCTAAGCCAAGCCCTCAGGCCAGCGGCAGCCACAGAAACGAGCTGGACAGCGAGCTAGCCCACGAGCCCCGAGCCTGAGACGCCCCCTCCGCCAGGGATGCCCGCGCGTGTCTGACGGGGCGAGCGTTTCCGCACCCAGGAAACAGACTCGGGGTGCGCGACCCCAGCAGCAGAAGCACTGAGTTCCTGCCTCACCCCGTCCTATAGCACAACATCTTCCTGTGCCTCGAACACCACTGAGTGTTGATGAACAGCGCTTTTGGACGCCACCTGGCGACGTTTTCTACTGGCCGGCGAGCCCAGGGGGCTCCCCCGTTCGTCCCCTGCTTGCTGGAACACTTTGAAACGCAAACTTTTGTTATAAGCTATTTAAGACAGTGACAGACTTGATAGTCCAAGAAATGAACAAGTTTTTTATAAGTAAATTTTCAAAACCCACAAACACTTGGTGATGCACAATTTGGATGAGTGGTTACGCAGCTGGGGGGAGGCCCCCACTCGCTCCCGCAGCCCTCCGCTGGCCAGGCCTGGGGAGCCCTCACGGTTTGACCTTCTCATGTGGTTTGATTGGGAGATTTGAGTGAGTTTGTTTTTTGTTTGTTTGTTTGTTTGTTTGTGTGAAGTCTTTATTTTTAAGTGATAAGTACCTAGTTTTCCAGCACGGATGCTAGAAGAAGAAGAGTGTGTGGGAGAGAGAGATGAACTAAAAAGCTGCCCAGCCTTACTGAAGACGTACGTCACGGCTCCTGCGTCGTCACCCCGAGTCTGCAGACGGCCACGGCCGCTGTGTTCAGAGACACCCCCACCACCACCCATCGTGCCCCAGCACCCGGGAGGAGGAGGGGGAGGCCGGCCCGAGTTACTCTGAGGACAGTCGCTTCATTTTTTTACTGGATCGCGCTACTTTGTTACATCCCCTTCCTCATAAAGGACAGTATTTATCTCCCCGTTGTTCAGGTTATCCCTGTGCAGGCTTCCGAGCGTCCAGCCCTCTTGTCGCTGCTGTGAATGATCGGTGGCCATGCCTTTCAGTATGACCAAGGGGGCTGCTTTAATTCTGGGATCCACTGAGACCCCCCACCCCTGCACCGGAACAAAAATGCAGCATTACGTCATCGCTTGGTCTTGGGGCTTTCTGTCTGTCTGTTTGAACTCATCCTTAGACTGCACTTTGTTGAAAACTCCCTGCGTCTTTTTCTTCCCGCTTATCAATCAGCTCAAGTTGAAAGGTTTTCACTTTTAAAATATATTGTACCAATGTTCTCAAACAGATCTTATCCTAGCACTCAAGTGCTTAGAAAATTCCCTTTGGTGCTTGGTTGAACAAGGGACACATAAGAAAATAATAATGATGCAAAACCTGAATCCTGGGGGGTCTCCGTGTGCCTTCCTGCGTCTTGTACGTTCAACACCGACTTGTGACTTTCCTCCCCTCCAAACCCCCAAACAGACCTGTCAACAGTATAGAGAAATGGGTATCAAAAGAATTTCGGGCTTGCTTGAAAGCATCTATTCCGGATAATCTCATTCGCTTTCAACTGTTTGTGCAAATTTATAGAAGGTTTGTTCTGCCCGAACCTGAAAGCAGCTTTCCATAGACAGGAGGCGGCTTCCCATCCTAAAATTATGGTATTTATTTACATAAAAAATAAGATTTTACGGGAATTCCATGTTAACCGCCATGGTGACTGAGCATTAACAGGAGGTTAATGTGTTAGGTGCAAAATTTAAAAAAAATTATCAATATAGCTCCGGGAAGCAATAGCTACCATCCGCTAAAGCCCCAGAAATTAGGCAGAAAAGACATGGGCAGGTTCCCCCCCCCCATTCTCTGATGTCGGAGATCCTGGTTCTGTTGACGTGGCCCCTTCTCACGTGCAATGCAAAAGGAACATTGTTGAGACAGCGTTTTATGTGGGATCTTTTTTTGTTTTTTGTTTTGTTTGTTTTTTGCTTCTTTGTATGTTTTTTCTTTTACAGTTATTAAAAATTCATATGCATGGAATTTAAAAATCTCTGCCATATGTATATTCATTAATGGGCATTATTACTGATTTGTGTAAAGGGTTTATTTTGTTATGCAATATGCAGAATACTGTTTCAGGCTTAGGTGTTTCCAGATTTGTACTTTTCAGCTGTTTCTTCAAGGGAAACTAGCGGTTGAGTTTCAGCAGTGCTTTTAGGTGTGTTAGCGTATATGTGTTGCTGTGCTAGGTTGCCAAGTCGAGAAATTACACAGAGAACAAAAGGCCTTCCCGTGGGCCTAGGTGCTTGAAGGCACTGTGCTCAGGGAGGGTGGCTGGGGCTTCGCTTCTGCGTTCTAGACTCAGGTGTGAGTAGATGGTCCCCCTTACCCAGCAGTGGATAAAACCCTTTTCCCTTCCAGGTGAATGAGCCTGGGCTCATTCAGGGGAACTACCCCTCCACCACCCCCTGGTGGACATCGCCCCAACATCTCCCCTCCCCCCATTTTCAGCCAGAAAGTGCATGTTCCACCCCCACCCCCTTACTATCCCCCAAGCCTCGTTTCTTGAAAAAGCAGTGAGATCTGAACACTTTGCAGTAACTTGTCCCAAAGAGTATGGGGTTAGAACACCACCCCCCCGTGATCCTGACAGTATTGAGTTACTTGGCATCAGATTTTTTTCTTTAAGGCCAAATTTTTCCCTTGAGAGCATTCACACTAATTCTGCTGGGCATAGGCTGCCCACGAAATGCAGCTGTGCTGATTTCCTGATGATCGGTTCATATCAAAGCTAGGAAATGTTGATTTCTTTTCTTCCCTTCCCACCCCACACCCCCCAAGTTGGCGTATGCAGCCCCATGCAAAACCTTTTCAAATTAAAGTTGTCGATGAATGGAATTCAGTCTTATTTCACGGATGATACAGAACTATGTGAACAGACTATGGGGAACAAATTCTCCTCACCAGCAGCTCATTGTTAGGTTGGTTTTCGGTCAATTAACGTTCAAATTTTTTTTTTGCAATGTGCACAACCCCAAATTGGGTGGCTTGTGATTGGACCCTTCCCCCACCTTCGTTATTTTGTTTGATAATAGTAGAATCACTTGGAACTGACTCGAATGTGTCTGGGTGCGAGCCCCTCGACACACAAAGGAGAGACTCTCGGCCCGATTTTATAGCTGCTTAAAGTCCACGTTTCTAATCCTAGGCCTTGTAGGAGCAGCTAACTCCTGCTGCACTGGCAGCCTTGGAGGAGGGGGAGGAGGGAATTGGTTCCCTGTGTGATTTCTGTGTATGAAGCATTGTTATACTGCAGCCGAACGAGGTCCTGTAGAGACAGAACTGCTCATAGTTTTACTCCATTAATGCAGCTGCAGCTTAGTTTTCTTTAGGAAGAAGGGAGAAGAGGTGTCTTGTAGGCTGTTGACTCTCCCTATACTTAAATATATTACCTAGATAATTGTATATTCAGTTTAATTACTCATTGTTTCTATACTGAAAGAAGACTTAACGAAGGGAAAAAAACCGACAGCAATAAGATTCATATCTATGGAGCAGCTAACTAGTACACATAATATTCTGCTTTTCATACAAAACTAGCCAATATGTAAAAATAAATAAATAAATAAAAAATAAAAAACAACATGTAAATACTTTTTTTTTTCATTTTACACTGTTGTATTATAAGTGTATATGGTGGTTACTTTTCAGAAACTCTTTCTTACTTGGTAGTTGTCTTGTTTTCCGAGTTGTGTTTTTAACAAAAAAAATTCTTTGCTTGTCTGTTGGGGGGGTTGGAAAACACTTTTGGCAAGTTTTCAATGTGGGTTACCATTTTCCATCTTAAGTTTTGGGTCCTTATTTTCATGGTAAAATATTTTATTATTAAAGGTTAAATTCTCTTCTCCCCCCCCCCCAAAAAAAAGTCCACATGTTTTTGAGGGAGGTGTTTTTGTTTGTCAGAAGTCATAAATGACATTTTTTTTTCAATTGAGGGAAAAAAAATCTACATTTATAATAGCCAAGAGCATTTCAGCACATTTCTGTTCTGTTTTCTCCTATGCTGCTGCTAATGACAATATTATGACTTACTCTACTATTCAAGAACTATTTTTATGTAATTAATGTATGCTTTCTTGTTTATAAATGCCTGATTTTAAAAAAAGAAAAAAGAAAGAAAAAAGCTTGGCATATTTATCTATCTCGCTGTGTACCTTGTTGGTCCTTTTCCCCCTTCCCCCTTGAAACAGATAATATTGTAAAATAAAGGCCTCTATGAGAATATGTATGAAAATAGCTCTGCTTATATACCAGTGACTGAATGTACAGTGTATAGACGCATTACCTAAAATAAACAAAAGTGTTTGGTTCAACTATTTCCACATTACAGAATCTTCTGTTTCCTTCCTTTTGGGCATTTGGGCCCAGCCCAGGGTTAGAAGAGGAATGGCTTCTTTCTGTCTGCCCTGTCTCCCCAGCTGATGCAGATGGCTCCCCCCACCCCCAACGCAAGGCTTCTTTTGTTTCCCTGGCTCTTCTTCCCGTTAAATGGCCGATCTCTTTTGAGGTCAACAGGTGTCCTGGGAAGTTTTCCTTCCAGCACTTGTTTTAATGACTGTGTCCACATGGGCTGATGGCATTCCAATTTAGAATGGAGCAGAGAAGGATATGTCTTCCCTTAAGCCCCAATATGGCCCAAAGTGAATGAGGTCTATAACATTACCAAAATCCTGACCTGGCTGGGAGCAGGACTATTTTCAGAAAGTGGCAGGAGAGAAGAATGGCCATTTGCTGGTGTGACAGTCTCTCCAAAGGTCTGTAAGTGCCCTCTTCCCACAGGGCATTGAAGAAGAGGACGAGGGAGACGCACGGGGTCAGTAGTGAGGCTGAATTCATGCTGGGCACCACTAAGGCATCATAAGATAGCTCCTCTATTGAGGGGCACGAGGGATCAGGTATGAGGAGGAAAACACAAGATGTAGGAGATGAAATCTCACTTCATAGAGTATCTCATTGCCTCAACCCTCCCTGGAAAAGATTCATGCCTTTTAATATTTTAATCACTAGGGTTGCTTTTCTGTTAAAGTACAAATTACCCTCCAGGCTTCCAGGGACCCAGCAGCAAGAAGGCTCTGGTCCTTCTACCAAGAGGGAGAATAATTAGTGATTGAGAAAGAACTGAGCTAAGGGAGACTCCATAGAGGGGGGGTGGTAAAAGTTCATTTGGGTTAAGGGGGAAATTTCCGAAGTATAACTCACAGATTACTCTAGTTAACTACATGCTGCCTGTGTGTGCTTTTTCATTTGCTTCTCTTGTACTTTGATGTTTATTAATTTTTTAGAATTTCAAATCTTGGGTTTCTTTGGAAGGGTTAGATGGAAAACAACATTTTCTCTTTTGAGGAAGCGCTAAATGGCAAAGAGAATGAAATGAAAGCTTCGCTTTTAGCATAGGGGCATTAGGAGGATTACCCTATTAAGGACTGAGATTTTTAAATGTCCAGGACTCCACGGCAGAGTGTTCCCCAGCAGGCCAGTTGGCAGTGGGTTTACCGCTTCAGGGTCACCAAAGCCAGCTCCGTCTAAGATTAGCCCAAGCAAGAATCCCATCCCCTCCTCTTGAGCCAAATGGAAGTTATTTAGGGTTAAACTGACTGCTATTCATTTACATGTTAATCCAACTGCTATTTTATCCAGTTCCAAGAATGTGCAAAGCACTGAATGCTAGGCTTGGTACAAGGAAAGGTACAAAGAGTATCTAACACAGCCCATGATCTAGTATAGAAATTGGGGAACCAGAGAAAACAACACACAGGGCAGAATTGAATATGAAAATAATAAAATTAAAGGAGACGAGTCCAAAAGGAGAATGTCCTTGGATCTTGGATTGACAACTGGAAGTCAGAGGACCTCTAGTTAAAGCCCCTTATTTTATAGATGAGAAAAACCAGGTCTAGGGATATGGTCACACAAGTGATGTGTCAAGTCGTGGGGTCTGAACTCAGATCTTTGGTTCTGCCAGTCCTCTTTCCACTACTCCATTGCTTGAAGAAGGAAGGAGAGAACATTTTCTAGGAGAGATGGGAGAAGGCTTTCTGGGGTAGGTGCCATTTGAACCAGGGTCAGAGGAGAGAGGGCATCTGAATTATAAAGAGCAGCACAGAAGAAAACACAAGGGAGAAAACAGTGAATGTATTCAAGCACGAACATCCTTTCCATTTTGAATCCTCTGGCTGGAGGAGAAGACACCAGAGGCAGGAAGGCTCCTTAGGCTCCTTTCAGATAAGAGTTACACCTGAGGGCCTGGTGATAGTGGGAATTGAGAAGGGTGGACAGATGGATGAGAGACCCTGGAGGGATTAATAAGCCTTTGCTTGTGGTCTCATTGTGACCTCCTCAGGCCCACCTCCTAACAGTAGCTACTGCTGGCAGGTCCACATGTACCAAGATGGCGGGTAGCCTTGCTAGCCACAGGAAGAAGGGAAAGAACAATGGCGGAGCAAGGCTGGGTAAGAAGATGAGGGAAGTATGGCCCCTTCAAATCTGCAGATCTTGTCCAACGTAAGCCCCCATCTTTCTCACTTCTCAGAAGCTGGCATTGCAGACCCTCAACTGGTACCCTTAGAGTCCCTGAGCCGCCTTCGCTAGTATGATGGTGGAATTGCCATGGGCTGTGTTTGTCTCCACCATCCACCGAGGCTGGTGGCCTGGTAGATCTTGGGCAGGAGACTATTCCACTGGCTAACTAGCCTCTTGGACTGGGCTCCTCCCCTTTCTTTTTCCTTGTTCTTTAATTAAAACCAAACCCTTCTGACATGGATGGAGAGATGGTGTCTGCTTTCTTCTCCACAGCCCATTGGGCCCAGGAGGGAACTCAGGAAATCACTCAGTAGGGGTATATAGCTGCCTAGCTCCCTGCAGGCTTAGCCCAGTGCTAGGCTTAGACGGAGAAACAGAGAATCTGAGAAAGATAGGATTTGGAGCTTAAAGGAACCTGAGAAGTAGAGTGCCCCAAAACCTCATTTTGCAGATGGGGAAGCAGAGCCAGGAAAGGAGGGAGTCCTTGGTGGCATAGCCAAGCCAAAGCTTGAGTCTCCTGACTCCTCATCCTTCAGTCTTCATACTTTGAGCTGGAAGGAGACTTTGGAGGTCATCAAGTCCAACTCCCCTATTTTACAGTTGAAGAAACTGAGGACCGGGAAAGTTAGGTAATTTTCTCATTTACTGAGGCAGGGTTGTCTTGGGGACCCATGCCCTTTGACTGCCAGTACAGTTCCTGTCTTTTTCCCATGCGGTCTCATTGCCCTGTGTGAGAAGGAAGGAAGGGAGAGAGAAAAGGAGGGATAAAGGAAGGGAGGAAGGAAGGAGGGAGGGAGGAAAGGAAGGGAGAGAGAGAAGGAAGGAAAGAAAGAAGGGAGGTAGGAAGGGAAGGAAAGAAAGAAGGGAAGTAGAAAGGAAGGGAGGGAGAGAAGGAAGGAAAGAAGGGAGGAAAGGAAGGGAAGAAGGGAAGGAAGGAAAGAAAGAAGGGAGGAAGGGAAGGAAGGAAAGAAAGAAGAGGAAAGGAAAGAAAGGAGAGAAGGAAGGAAAGAAGTGAGGGAAAGAGGGAAGGAAAGAAGGAGGGAGGAAGGGAAGGAAGGAAAGAAAGAAGAGGAAAGGAAAGAAAGGAGAGAAGGAAGGAAAGAAGTGAGGGAAAGAGGGAAGGAAAGAAAGGAGGGAAGGAAGAAGGCAGGTAGGAAGGAAGGAAGAAGGAAAGGAAGGAAAAGGCATGTAATAAGTGTTTACTCTATGTCAGGGAAGGTACTAAGTCCTGGGGATACAAATATAAGCACTCCCGACAGTCCCTGCCGTCAGGAAGCCTATCCGCTAAAGGGGGAACAAAACATTTAGAGACACTTCTCAGAGAAGTAGGAGAGGCAAGTTAGAATGATATTGGAGCCGCAGGGCAAGGGATCAGCTAGCCTTACCTGGAATGGCATTGTTAATCTGATTGCTGTTCTCAGAACTAGAGTTGGGAAAGTTGTGGGGAGGAGGGAGCGAAGTAGGCAAAGAGTGGCCGGGAAGTGACATGGAGGGCTTGAGACAGGAGAGCTAAAGAAACAAGATTGGATTGAGTGTGGGACTTGGAGTCAGCATGATCTGGGTTCAAATTCTGCCTCAGACACTTCCTAGGTTCTCCATCCCTGAGCAAGTTCCTTCAACTCACTGGACCTCCGTTTCCTTCTCTGTAAAATGAGAAGAATCTCTAAGGTCCTCTCCTCCAACCCCCACATCTGGACACAGTCCATTCAACCTTATCCATTCAACCTCTGAAATATCTTTTATGTCCATCCCCTTCTCTCCATTCCCATTGCACTGAACTCTCTTCCTAAGTGATCTCCCTGCCTCTTGTCTCTCCTCTCTCCAATCCTTTCTGTACAAGCTTCCAGAGTAACCTTGATCATATTATACCATCAGTCACCGTTCTATCTGTTAGTGTTCAGTCATTTCAGGCATGTCCAACTTTTCGTGACCCCATTTGGGGTTTTCTTGGCAAAGATACTGGAGTGGTTCACCATTTCCTTCTCCAGCTCATTTTACAGATGAGGAAACTGAGGCAAACAGAGTGAAGTGACTTGCCCAGGGTCACCCAGCTAGTAAGTGCCTGAGGTCAGATTAGAACTCAGAAAGAAGAGTCTTCCCTGCACTCTATCGACTTCACCACCTAGCTGCCAATCAAAATTGTAGGTAATTAGCAAACAACGAAAAGACACATGGTGTCACTGAGGCAGCATCAGGTAGTTGAGAGAGTACTGGACTACTGGAAAGAGACCTGGGTTCAAACCTGCCCTGGACACTTAGCTAATCTCTTAATTGCTGTGAGCCTTGATTCACTTCCCCTTGGACAATGAGACTTCTAGCCTCCCTCATTATAGAACACTGCGTTCCCCCCCCAAGTGCCTAGCATTGGGCCCAATACACAGTAGGTAATTACAGAATCCTTGTAGGCTGCCCTATTAGTCATTAAGCTTCAGGATTTGATGCCAGTCCAGATGTGCAAAGCCACAGACCCTTGTGTTTATGGGTCTGCCCCTCGCCTGATATCCGGTTTCCCCTCCCTGCCTAGATCCCAGTTCCTGGTCTGAACCACCACTAGATCCCGACCAGGGCAAGACAGGCTCCTCCCACTATTGCCCTGCCTTATCCTCCCCATTCAGTCTGAAGCCCAAATACAGGATGAGCTCCCACCCCTACCCCAGGTACACGCAAGGGTGGGCCACAGGATGTTACACTCCAGAGGAATTCCTATTATGCTGGAGCCAGCTCAGGGCCCCACACCCACTAGGAGCAGATGCCTGAGAGACATTCTGTCCCCAGTCCAGGGCCCAGCCAGTCCCCCTGGCTCTGGCA